TCCAGCCCTGATTTTTTGTCTTTGTATCTGTGATGTTATTTATGGAATATATAGTTTAGTATGATCACATCTGTTTCTTAGAACACCTTCAAAACATCTGAAGTGTCAAGAGGCCCATTGCAATGACAACATTTGTGCGAAGTTTCAGGAGGTATAATACTACTGTGATTTTTAGGTCATCTGACCCGAAGGGTCTAGATGACCTATAGCCATTGTGCTTCGTCTGTTGTCGTCCGCCATGCGCCATCCGCCATGTGCCGTCCGCCATGCGTCGTCCGTAAACTTTTCATTCAAAAAACTTCTTCTCAAATACTAGAAGGCCTAGGGGGCTAATACTTGGCCCATAGCATGCTGGCGTGGAGCCCTACAAAGTGTGTTCAAATTAATGACCTTGACCCACTTTCAAGGTCACAGGAGTCAAATATGTTGAAATTTTTAAACAACTTCTTCTCAACATCCAAAAGGCTCAGAATGCTGATATTGGGATGAAGGACTACCAAGTTTCTTCAAATGAATTACCTTGGCCCACTTTCAAGGTCACAGGGGTCAAATATATTAAAATATACAAACGACTTCTTCTCAATAAGCGAAAGTCCAAGAGTGCTGATATTGGGCCTGTAGGATGCATGGATGACATGCTACCAAGTTTGTTCAAATGAATGACCTCGGCCCACTTTCTAGGTCACAGTGGTCAAATATGTTAAAATATACAAACATCTTCTCTTCAATAAGCAGAAGTCTAAGAGTGCTGATAATGCATCTGTAGGATGCTGGGATGACATGCTACTAAATTTGTTCAAATGAATGACCTTGACCCACTTTAAAGGTCACAGGGGTTAAATATGTTAAAATATGCAAATGACTTCTCAATAACCAAATTGATTAGAGTGCTGATTTTTGGCCTGTAGGATGCTTTGAGGAAGTGTTACCAAATGTGTTCAAGTGAATGACCTTGACCCACTTTCAAGATCACAGGTTTCAAATATGTTAAAATCTGTAAACGACTTCTTCTCAGTAACGATTTTTGGCCTGTAGGATGCTTTGAGGAAGTGTTACCAAATGTGTTCAAGTGAATGACCTTGACCCACTTTCAAGATCACAGGTTTCAAATATGTTAAAATCTGTAAACGACTTTTTCTCAGTAACCAAAAGGCTCAGAGTGCTGATATTGGGCCTGTAGGATGCTGGGAGGAAGGGCTACCAAGGTTATTCAAATGAATAAAGTCCACTGTTTTAACGGCAGACTCACTGTTGTTAGAGTTTGGCTTGCTTTTTGTCAGATGACCGTTAAGGCCTACCATCATCAAATCACCAAACATCCTTGGTCTATCATCTTTCTTGTTATCACTATTTTAAATGAAGAACGGGATGAATCTTTCTGTGAAGATGTCCCTTGATCCATAGTCCTTTGAATTTTGGGACTGCTCAGAAAACAAGGTAGCTGACAGGGTGTGGGTGGCATCTCGGATTTTGTCTGTGAAATACTGGTGAGAAGTACTAAATGGATCTTTGATCCTTAGTTGTGACTGTTTGGTTATGGGACTAATCAGAAAAACTAAATTGCTGACAGGAGCCTTCATGGATTTTAACAATGACATTTGTTGAGAAGTACTGTATGGATCTTTGGTCCTTAGTTGTGACTGTTTAGTTTTGGGACTTATCAGGAAAACGAAATTGCTGACAGGATCCTTCATGGATTTTAACAATGACATTTGTTGAGAAGTATTGTATGGATCTTTCTCAAATTTCCTATGTAGGTTCCCCTTGATCCCAAGTTGTGCCTGTTAGATTTTTGAACTGATTGGAATAACATCATGACTGACAGGCACCCATCATTGATTTGGGAGTTAAAGATAACTGAGACTATGAAAGTTTGGCATTGATATTTCTTCAGAAATACTGGATAGATCTTTCACAAACTTATGTAGGTTATCATTGTTCCTTTATTCTGCCTTCCTGGCACTTGAAGATTATTTTCGTTATTTCTTATGAGAAATTTTGAAGTCACCTGAAACAAAGCCTATTTATGCTTCCCGAAGAGAGAGCATATAGTTGCCGCTTTTTCTGTTCGTCCATCCGTCAGGAACATGTTACAAAAACTATGAGGAGTACTTCATAGGAAGATAGATCTCGCTAAGGAGAAATACAATGTACAAGAACCATAACTCTCTTTTGCATAATTAGACCTTTTGGAACTAGGGTTTATATGGGTAGCACCCATCAGTTCTACCAATTCTCTTGTTTATGGTTACCTGTTGCAATCGTCTTTTGTCTGGCATAGTGCTTTGTAAACTGTTAACATTTCAACTTTGAATGTATTGCTGTGAAATTTTGTAAAACCTTCCATAGACAAAGGTGAAGCAAAATTGCCAAGCAAAGGGCTTGAGGAGTGAGGTCAAAAAGGGTTGAATTAGCTCAAATTTCAGTCTTCTCTAAACCCAGAAACATTAGAATCAAATGCTCTTTGTGGATGGAAGAGTCTTAAAATGCTAAACAAAATTTGTTTAATTTCATGACCCCAGGATCTCACAGTTTCCTCAGGGGAGAGGGTAAAATTTATTATAGTTTATAGAGGAAAATTACACTTTTAAGCATAATTTATTTAATTTCCATTGGAAATATTTCAAATTTGGTTACAATTATTAGTATATGATGATCAAATGGTGTACACATTTTGACTTTAGGTGAACCCAGGAGCTGAGGGGCTGGGCTAAGATGAGTCAAATTGACTTATATTTCAAAAATCTTCTTCTCTACGCCAAAATATTTTAGACTGAAGTGCTCTTCATAGATTTCCAGATCGATATAAGATCCTTTAATGAAAATGTGACTTTCATGAACCAAGGGTCTCACAGAATGAATGACACTTTTGAGCATAACTTTGTTTTATTTTCTACTGATAAAAATCATAAGAATAAGAGGGCAGTCTGATGATATGCATATTTGATTCTGGCTGACCACTAAGAGTTGATTGGCAGGGCCAAAACAGGTCAAATAGACTCAGGTTTTTAAAATTTTCTCAACCCCAAAATATGATAGAATCTAATGCCCTTCATAGGTCTTCAGGTGTTGTAACAAAAAGGAGTGTTCTTTATTATTCAGATCTTTGAAATGATCAGAAAGCAACAATGCCTTTCCATATGTTTTATTGCTTAAACCATGTCACTTAAATCATACTACAATTTCTTTTTTATGACATTTGAAGGAAACATATCCTAATAACCTGTATATTCAATGTTGCCTACCTCGAGTGACCATTGTGGCCACTAGTCAAATTTTGTACAACTAAGAGCAAAAACAGGGAAAAAGGAAGAGAAACCTTTTAAATAAAGATCAACAATGGTTGGTGCCCTCTGGGATCTCTTGTTCAGCAAGACATTCCAGTGTAACACAAGACATTCCTATGTAACACAAGACATTCCAGTGTAACACAAGACATTCCAGTGTAACACAAGACATTTCAGTGTAACACAAGACATTTCAGTGTAACACAAGATATTCCAGTGTAACACAAGACATTTCAGTGTAACACAAGACATTCCTATGTAACACAAGACATTCCAGTGTAACATGACATTCCAGTGTAACACAAGACATTCCAGTGTAACACAAGACATTCCACAAGCAAACTTGTATGTGACTTGTTAAATATGGAAAAAACAAATAATCTTGTACAAAATAAACCAATTTATAATGATGGCCTACTCATTATAGAAATAGAATACTGTACCTGTGTTTATAGTAATTTTGTCCCTGTCTATTACTGTACTAACAAATAATATGAATACAGTACCTGTATCTATAGAAATTCCATCCCTGTCTATTACTGTACTAACAAATAATATAAATACAGTACCTGTATCTATAGTAATTTCATCCCTGTCTATTACTGTACTAACAAATAATATGAATACAGTACCTGTATCTATAGTAATTTCATCCCTGTCTATTACTGTACTAACAAATAATATAAATACAGTACCTGTATCTATAGTAATTTCATCCCTGTCTATTACTGTACTAACAAATAATATGAATACAGTACCTGTATCTATAGTAATTTCATCCCTGTCTATTACTGTACTAACAAATAATATAAATACAGTACCTGTATCTATAGTAATTCCATCCCTGTCTATTACTGTACTAACAAATAATATAAATACAGTACCTGTATCTATAGTAATTTCATCCCTGTCTATTACTGTACTAACAAATAATATGAATACAGTACCTGTATCTATAGTAATTTCATCCCTGTCTATTACTGTACTAACAAATAATATAAATACAGTACCTGTATCTATAGTAATTTCATCCCTGTCTATTACTGTACTAACAAATAATATGAATACAGTACCTGTATCTATAGTAATTTCATCCCTGTCTATTACTGTACTAACAAATAATATGAATACAGTACCTGTATCTATAGTAATTTCATCCCTGTCTATTACTGTACTAACAAATAATATAAACCTTGACTTATTGTAATATGTTGGCCAACCAGGCTTCCTCCCCTTGCGATGAATGTTGAAGGGCATATCCTTAGCACTCATAGGGCTTCATTACTTGAAAATTTCCATTACATTGCGCACTTACAAAGTATTATTTTTCCTTTGAAAAGTTTGAATTTAAGGGCTCAAGGGTCAAGGTCACCATTGCTATTTCTAGATAACCCTTGTCACAGACAAAATAGACTTTGGTGGTTATCTGTAAATGTACAGGTTAAAAGTCAGTCTTCACCACTTTTTGTTTAGTTGAAGGGCCAGAATGCTGAGTTTTAATGATTATTGTTTTTCCTGGGTTTGAGTCCTTGTTGGTCCTGAGGTAGTTCAAATCTTGTACAACACTTTGACTATGTGTACAAAGTACTTATCCCAATATAGATATACAGAGGTAATTAATGTGAAGTTGAAGTTTTTGTCCCCTGAAAGACAAAGGTCATTGTTTTATTCACATTTATTCATCTAATCATACAATGAATTTGTATTTTCCAGGCACGTTTGAAATGTCAACAGAAGCAGAGGATGACATATATGAGGTTGTAAACATAGGAAAGATCAAAGCCCACACACCTAACCTGAGGGTTGTTAATCTGTATGGAATCACATTTATTGATGACACCCACATTGAACTGCTAGCTTCCAACTGTATTCATCTGGAATGTGTAGCCTTGAACTTTTGTCTCAGGGTCAAGGGGTCGTCATTTAAAGTCCTTCTTCAGAGATGCAAAAAACTGAAAACCTTACTGCTGCAACATACAGGTAGGTGACCCTAACACTATAAAGATCATGCAAGTAGGTGCCCCTTACACCATAAAGATTATACAGGTAGGTGACCCTTACACCATAAATATTATACAGGTAGGTGACCCTTACACCATACTTATTATACAGGTAGGTGACCCTTACACCATAAAGATTATACAGGTAGTTGACCCTTTCACCATAAAGATTATACAGGTAGGTGACCCTTACACCATACTTATTATACAGTTAGGTGACCCTTACACCATAAAGATTATACAGGTAGGTGACCCTTACACAATAAAGATTATACAGGTATGTGACCCTTAACCATAAAGATTATACAGGTAGATGATCTTTACACTATGTAGATTATACAGGTAGATGATCTTTACACTATGTAGATTATACAAGTAGATGATTGCTATAAAGATCATACAGGTGTAGACAAGAACACTGACTTCGCTAATTTTCCGTGCCAGGTGTGATCGACCAACACATGATTGCAGCCCCTTGGGAGATGTCAGTAATCCAGGAACTTGACCTAACATCCACAGAGCTGTCAACTGTGTGCCTGGAGAACATACTGCTGCGCATACCTAGCTTCACCTATCTTGGCCTTGGATACTGTGAATTTTTTACTGATCGGGTAAGAGGGACAGAAATCAGAATATTGGTATTTAGGACTATTTATGTTCCTGGAAAAACAAACAGAAATTACAACAGGTGTTATCGTCTCTACCTTGAGGAGGAACTGGTCTGTGTGGGTCATATATAGTGTTAAATATGGTCTCTGCCACTCAGCTGACAGAGCATGCTTAATTAGACTTAGGGGAGGGGCTTATCAGCAGACAAAGGGGGATGGGCTTATCACCAGACATAGGGGAGATGCTTAATTAGACATAGGGGGAGGGGCTTATCAACAGACATAGCGGGAGGGGTTTATCAACAATCATAGATGGAGGGGCTTATTATTAGACATAGGGGGAGGGGCTTATTTCCAGACAAAGGGGGAGTGGCTTAATATATATCTATTTCAACATGCTATTTTGTGTCAAGATTGCCATGAAATATACTGGAATGTCATCATCACTTTATCAGGACCTAAAATTGAAAGCATGAAAGTAGGACTGTATGTTTGTGTTTATTTCCAGGTCCTAGAGCTGCTGATAGCAAGAGGAAAACTGAATCATCTAAAAGCTGTAGACCTTAGCTACACTAATGCCTTGTCAGAAAGTGCCATCTACCAGCTTCTACAGAAACTAGGAAGCAACCTCGAGGGTGTCATGATTGCTGGCAAACCTAAACTCACAGAAAACTTCTGGCTCAATGTCATCTCATTCTTAAAAAGCATCAAGTAAGTTAAGAAATTTTGTAGCATAGAACTTTTCTCAACTGAAATCAATTTTACTTGTTCCTGCCTCAGTCGTTTGCTTTTGGTCCTGAACATATTACCCTAAAAACCCTCTCCCTTGTTCTTATAATAGTAAGTTCTTTCTACATCTAGTGACAGATTAGTTCTCGTGATCCTACTGTTCCCCTTATGATGATGTAGTTCTTATGTTCCTTAGATCCTTGCTATTATGACAGTCTAGTTCCTCTTATCCTAAAATCCAACTGTTCCCCCTAGTCTAGTTCTGATGATCCTATAATATTCACTTCTATCTTGCCCTAGCTATAGTCACAGACTGAAACCAGATCTCCTGACCTGTCCTAACTACAGTCACAGACTGTGACCAGATCTTCTGTCCTGTCCTAACTACAGTCACAGACTGTGACCAGATCTTCTGTATTGCCTTAACTACAGTCACAGACTGTGACCAGATCTTCTGTATTGCCTTAACTACAGTCACAGACTGTGACCAGATCTTCTGTATTGCCTTAACTACAGTCACAGACTGTGACCAGATCTTCTGTATTGCCTTAACTACAGTCACAGACTGTGACCAGATCTTCTGTATTGCCTTAACTACAGTCACAGACTGAGACCAGATCTTCTGTCTTGCCCTAACTACAGTTACAGACTGAGACCTGGGCCCATATTCATGAAACCATTCTCAAGCTCAAGCATGAATTTTGTGCTCAAGCCTTATGTCTTGTTTAAGCTAAACATTAATAAATAAGACTGATGTTGCCAAAGATTAAAAACAAATTTTGAAAGGACTTTAAGTCAAAGTTATATTTAATGTTTATATTTGACATTTGTATTATTTATATGACTTAGGTGAATTATAAAAAAGTTTGCTTAAGCACAAAATATATGCTTGAGCATGAGAATGGTTTCATGAATACGGGCCCAGATCTTCTGTCTTGCCCTAACTACAGTCACAGACTGTGACCAGATCTTCTGTCTTGCCCTAACAACAGTCACAGACTGAAAGCAAATCTTCTGTCTTGCCCTAACAACAGTCACAGACTGAAAGCAAATCTTCTGTCTTGCCCTAACTACAGTCACAGACTGAAACCAGATCTTCTATCTTGACCTAACTACAGTCACAGACTGAAACCAGATCTGTCCTGTCCTAACTAGTCACAGACTGAAACCAGATCTTCTGTCCTGCCCTTACTACAGTCACATACTGTGACCAGATCTTCTGTCTTGCCCTAACAACAGTCACAGACTGAAAGCAAATCTTCTATCTTGACCTAACTACAGTCACAGACTGAAACCAGATCTGTCCTGTCCTAACTAGTCACAGACTGAAACCAGATCTTCTGTCCTGCCCTAACTAGTCACAGACTGAGACCAGATCTTCTGTCCTGTCCTAACTACAGTCACAGACTGAGACCAGATCTTCTGTCCTGCCCTAACTAGTCACAGACTGAGACCAGATCTTCTGTCCTGTCCTAACTACAGTCACAGACTGAGACCAGATCTTCTGTCTTGCCCTAACTACAGTCACATACTGTGACCAGATCTTCTGTCCTGCCCTAACTACAGTCACAGACCGAAAGCAGATCTTCTCTCTTGTCCTAACTACTGTCACAGACTGAAAGCATTTTTATTCTGCTCTAACTACAGTCACAGACTGACTGAATCTTCTTCCCTGACAAATAATGGAGTCACACCTTTTACATAGGGATTGGGCTATAACACATAAGTTTTCCTGATAAGCGGAAACCTCTTGACCCATCTCCTTCAATTCCTATTTCCAGAAGTTACTTATAGACTTGTGACTGTGTCTGTTTTCTTGCTTCACAACCATTTCTTTTTTTCTAGAAATTAGGCAAGGGCATTATCATCTTATTTTCTCACTAAAGTAGCTAGCAACATATGTACATACCAGTATTCATATATTTTTAATGAAATATTCAGTTTATGTGGGTTATCATCCACTTAAAGTAGTAAAACCTTTAGGTTTGTTGTAAAATCCAATGAAAATTGTTAGTTTTGAAAAAAATACATCAGGTTAATTGAATTTCCCCCTTACCATTGACGTGTCTCATTTCCTCAAGGGGGGGGGGGGGGTTGATGGGATGGATCTTCCCCTCGACAAGTTCAAAATTCATCATTTTTATAAAATCTTGAAAAATATGTAAATTACAATGATGCATTAACTTGTAGAGTGAAATAAAATGTCTTCAGACATATGTACATTACAACAGATTGTATCTGGTGATGCCTGCTTCAGTAGCTACAGTCTACATACAGTTTTATATCTCTGACTTAGTAGTCATCATTTACTTGGGAAACATAGTTTGACGTTTATCCTGATGGAGGAAGGAGACTATTGATCATGTTCAAGCTGTACCAATAATACCCCTCATCGACTGGTCACATGATGGATTGATGATATAGATTTGGAAGCTGTTTCCCTACTCTAGGCAACCCCTTTCCTTAGAGTTGTGGTGTTTCATGTATAATTCATAAGAGTCAAGTAGTAGCTTGTGTCTCTCTCTGACAAGTTAAACACTGCGCCATGATGCTTATCATACAGTTGGGTATAAAAGCTAATTCTTATGTCACAGTAATTCTTGTCTAGAGACGGAAATGAAAATAGCTTATGTTGCAACAATGCGTTATGTTATCAGTGTTATCTAGTATAGACATATTTACTGGTACTCGAATGAGAAAGTAAACCTTGTAAAATCAATACGCGGCTATGTGCCTTTAAGACAGACCAATTTGTTGTGAGAGGAGCGACGGAGGATGGTAATTGGTCGTCCTGGGTACAAATTGCCTCTATTGATTATCCAGATTTTGCATTGCTTTTTAGATAGTCAGCAAAAAAAAATTCAGAAAAGGTGAAGTAAGGTGTGTCACAGTAATGAGAGATGTTTGTCACAGTAATAAAACTCAGGCAGGGAGAATGTGTTGGAGGTGTAACGGAAACATGTATGGTGATGGTAAAAATAAAACTCAGTTATAGAGAATGTGTGTGTTGGAGGTGTAATGGAAACATGTACAGTAAAACGACATCAAGTCCCTACACCTTATTGCAGATCATACCACTATCACAAACAAATACTTAGTGGTTTTAACATCAAATTCTTCACTGTAATAAAACTGATATTTATTTCTCTCTCTTAAATCACAAGATTCATGACACACATTACCAATCCAAATTACAAAGTCATGTTTAACAAGGATCTAGTCATAGATATTTGACTATGATCTTCATTATAGATGTTGAACTGGATCTGTTATAGATTTTGAAATAAGGTCTGTGTTATAGATGTAGAACTAATATCTGTTATAGATGTTGAACTAGGGTCTGTTATAGATGTTTAACTAGGGACTGTGTTATAGATGTTGAACTAGGATCTGTGTTATAGATGTTGAACTAGGGACTGTTATAGATGTTGAACAAGGATCTGTTATAGATGTTGAACTAGGGACTGTTATAGATGTTGAAATAGGGTCTGTTATAGATGTTGTACTAGGATCTGTTATAGATGTTGAACTAGGGTCTGTGTTATATATGTTGTACTAGGGTCTGTTATAGATGTTGAACTAGGGCCTGTTATAGATGTTGAACTAGGGACTGTGTTATAGATGTTGAACTAGGATCTGTTATAGATGTTGAACTAGGGACTGTGTTATAGATGTTGAACTAGGATCTGTGTTATAGATGTTGAACTAGGGACTGTTATAGATGTTGAACTAGGATCTGTTATAGATGTTGAACTAGGAACTGTTATAGATGTTGAACTAGGGTCTGTGTTATAGATGTTGAACTAGGGTCTGTGTTATAGATGTTGAACTAGAATCTGTTATAGATGTTGAATTAGTGTCTGTTATAGATGTTGAACTAGGGTCTGTGTTATAGATGATGAATTAGGGTCTATTATAGATGTTGAACTAGGGACTGTTATAGATGTTGAACTAGGGTCTGTTACAGATGTTGAACTAGGGACTGTTATAGATGTTGAACTAAGGTCTGTGTTATAGATGTTGAACTAAGATCTGTTATAGATGTTGAACTAGGGTCTGTGTTATAGGTGTTGAACTAGGATCTGTTATAGATGTTGAACTAGGGACTGTTATAGATGTTGAACTAGGATCTGTTATAGATGTTGAACTAGGGTCTATTATAGATGTTGAACTAAGGTCTGTGTTATAGATGTTGAACTAAGATCTGTTATAGATGTTGAACTAGGGACTGTGTTATAGATGTTGAACTAGGGTCTATTATAGATGTTGAACTAGGGTCTATTATAGATGTTGAACTAAGGTCTGTGTTATAGATGTTGAACTAGGATCTGTTATAGATGTTGAACTAAGATCTGTTATAGATGTTGAACTTGGGTCTGTTATAGATGTTGAACTAAGGTCTGTGTTATAGATGTTGAACTAAGATCTGTTATGGCTGTTGAATTAGGATCTATTATAGATGTTGAACTAGGGTCTGTGTTATAGATGTTGAACTAGGGTCTGTTATAGATGTTGAACTAGGATCTGTTATAGATGTTGAACTAGGATCTGTTATAGATGTTGAACTAGGGTATGTTATAGATGTTGAACTAAGGTCTGTGTTATAGATGTTGAACTAAGATCTGTTATAGATGTTGAACTAGGATCTGTGTTATAGATGTTGAACTAGGATCTGTTATAGATATTGAACTAGGATCTGTGTTATAGATGTTGAACTAGGATCTGTGTTATAGATGATGAACTAGCGTCTGTTATAGATGTTGAACTAGGATCTGTTATGGGTGTTGAACTAGGGTCTGTGTTATAGGTGTTGAACTAGGATCTGTTAAAGATGTTGAACTAGGATCTGTTATAAGTGTTGAACTAGGGTCTGTGTTTTAGGTGTTGAACTAGGGTCTGTGTTTTAGGTGTTGAACTAGGGTCTGTTATAGATGTTGAACTAGGATCTGTTATAGATGTTGAACTAGGATCTGTGTTATAGATGTTGAACTAGGGTCTGTGTTATAGATGATGAACTAGGGTCTGTTATAAATGTTGAACTAGGATCTGTTATGGGTGTTGAACTAGGGTCTGTGTTATAGGTGTTGAACTAGGATCTGTTATAGATGTTGAACTAAGGTCTGTGTTATAGATGTTGAACTAAGATCTGTTATAGATGTTGAACTAGGATCTGTTATGGATGTTGAACTAAGGTCTGTGTTATAGATGTTGAACTAAGATCTGTTATAGATGTTGAACTAGGGTCTATTATAGGTGTTGAACTAAGGTCTGTGTTATAGATGTTGAACTAAGATCTGTTATAGATGTTGAACTAGGATCTGTTATAGATGTTGAACTAGGGTCTGTTATAGATGTTGAACTAGGGTCTGTGTTATAGATGATGAACTAGCGTCTGTTATAGATGTTGAACTAGGATCTGTTATGGGTGTTGAACTAGGGTCTGTGTTATAGGTGTTGAACTAGGATCTGTTATAAGTGTTGAACTAGGGTCTGTGTTTTAGGTGTTGAACTAGGGTCTGTGTTATAGATGATGAACTAGATGTTGTAGGATCTGTTATAGATGTTGAACTAAGGTCTGTGTTATAGATGTTGATCTAAGATCTGTTATAGATGATGAACTAGCGTCTGTTATAGATGTTGAACTAGGATCTGTTATGGGTGTTGAACTAGGATCTGTGTTATAGGTGTTGAACTAGGGTCTGTGTTATAGATGTTGAACTAGGGTCTGTGTTATAGATGATGAACTAGGGTCTGTTATAGATGTTGAACTAGGATCTGTTATGGGTGTTGAACTAGGGTCTGTGTTATAGGTGTTGAACTAGGATCTGTTATAGATGTTGAACTAGGATCTGTTATAGATGTTGAACTAGGGACTGTTATAGATGATGAACTAGCGTCTGTTATAGATGTTGAACAAGGGTATGTTATAGATGTTGAACTATATTATTCTTAGATTATGAGCTATGTAGTTATCAAAGGTAATCCCTCATTTAACTGTTAATATTCCTTAGTACATACTTGCTCTGTGCTGTTGTATTTGCCTGTTATTTTTGTGTCTTGTGTATTTTCTTAGGATCTGTGTGCTTGGCACAGCTAATGGCTGGTTCCTCAAGATGCAGAGTAAGGTCCACATTGACCAGGTGATTGAGTGGTATGCCCAGAACTGTCCCCGTTTGGAGCGCCTCGAGATCCAGTGGGATCCAGATACTATCCGCTTCTCTGACAAGAGCAACAAATTTGTTGACCATATTAGGTAAGATTCATTCAACAAAGTTCTACACTTGATAAGATTTTAGTGGTCGTTAGTTAAGATTAAAGGATGAAGGTCCTCCTTGACATCCTATCTCATACAAACCTTGATACTTTTACTTCAGATTCACACCATAGCATCACACCATCAAGTTTCAAGTTCTACACCAAATTAGATTTTGGTAGTCATTGGTCCAAGTTAAAGGTCAAAGATCACTCTTGCTTCTTTTGAGATAAAAAGCTTGTGTACAAGATATCTTATTCCCTTCAGAGATTAACCTCGCTAAAAATTTACAAAGAAGAAAGAGGTAGGGGGAGTGGGGATATATCTATGTGTGCTCCAACTCACTTTATTTTCTTGTGAAGATTTTCCAAATATAGTGATATGTATCTTTGTCCTATATTTTGTAGGTTGCGCTGCCCAAATTTAAAGTCCTTTACACTGAGTGATGGAGAATATTATGAGATGGTTAAATCCAATTTCGAGAGAGCAGATCGAGTAAAGGTGGTCAGGACAACAACTAACTACTCCACAAGTATCGTCAGCCTCCTGTCCTGCTACAAAGATCTCCTCTTCAACTGAGGGTTACTCCCCCTGAACAGTGATGCTAGTCACAGACTAAGTTATTTAAGTCTGGGAGATACTGTGAAGAGAAGGTCAAGGTCATTTAAAGTCTGTGTACTGTGACCACAGGATCACTTAAGTAACAGCTATTGTTGCAACAAGATGTCATCCCATCCCTCTTGGATTTGTTCACCCACAAACCTGATAGTATCCTTGTCATGTGATACCTTATCATGTGACCTTGATCATGTGACTTTGTCTTGTATCACCAGAGGTTGTAAGATGAGAAAACACCTATGTATTGGAGGGCGTAACATTCTAAGGTGTGTTAGGTTCATACAGTTAGGATTAAGATACTTTAATTTAAAAGTTTCCATCAATGAATTTATGTAACTTAACACGCAGATGGAAGAGGTGTTGACATAGAACTTTATAGAGAGAATATTAACAGTGTGAGACTTGAAGTGTGATAGTAGATAGACACCAATTCCTACTTACCAAGAAGTGAAGGATTAGACAGTACCCCAGAGGGTAAAGATAAACATGTCAGATGCCAATGCTTAGTGGTACCAAGTGTATATTTGGTTCTCACACTGGAATGATGACAGATTAGTGCTACAAATATTCATTACATCATTGACACCTCTTTACCATATTCATAACTTAAAATATAATCAAATCCAACACCAGAATCAAACTTTACAGAAGTCTCTTAGATCTACTAAACAAAAAACTACAAAGGAATATATTTTCTATCAATGTTCATCCTCTGCTGAACCTGTTTGTTGTTAATGATTTTAACCAGTCACACGAAGGGAGGTAACTCTTCATCATAATTCATATTGTCCAAGATCATTAGTTTATGAGGGCTATTTAAAGATATCATGGTTCTTATGTTCTAATGGAAAACAAACCTTATATGGTAGAGATCTTTAAAAGTATTGATAATTAAGGTTCAAGGATTGATATATATATCCCTAATATTTCACTAAGTAGGTGCGTAGAATAGCAGATTTATATACATGGGACATTACGTGCAATTTGATTTAAGAAAATTTTGCTATTTATTGCCTAATATTTCAGAGGATTTTATCCCTATATTTGTTGAATTATTTTGTGAAAGTATTTATTATATGTGATAAGTAATATGCATTAGTTTATAAATTATATAAAATGTTAAAGCTATATTAAACTATGTATACATGCAGTTATTGATATTTTTTATTTTATATTTCTAGCATTGGTAAAAGAATGACATCTTTCAAAATATGCAATTCAGAATAAATGAAGCAACATTACATAGATCTTGATACTCTCGCTCCATACAAGGCACTTGAACTTTTACATTGTGTGAAGGACGAGGCATACATATTTCACATTCAGTTCGACCTTCATTAGGATTATTTCAACCTTAAACTTTCCTCCATTTCAAATGAGTCGACAAAGGAGAGCTGTATATCCCCTATCAAGTTACTCATATGTTATAATCAAAATAGGTTTCATTTTGTTTTTATTATTTACTTTTTTGTTTTATGAATAAGAAAATTACATTAAATTTTGATTAAATCACACAAATGAGATCCATTTTTGATACCGTATCATTAGATAAAGTTTTTTTCCATTGTGATTTCCAGTGATACTGCTAAAGATCATACTTCCTGTACATGTGTGGAATAGTTGTTGTCATACCTAAACTTGTTTACATCACCTTTAAGGTAATTTACTAATTGGGTTGTTGATTGTAAATAAACTTATGAAATACCATAACATTGTTTATTTGTATGTGGATATATATCATATCGGAGTTTTGTCATATTCTAGGGGAGGTAAAAAGTAGTAGACTGACTTATTCCCTAGTATTCCATATCACCTTAAAAATGTTATTCTTATGCATAATTCCTTACAATATATTTTTGGTTGAAATGGATTGACACAAAACATGTTCTCTTTCATTTCAAAAATTTTCATTTTTCTTTTTCTTCTGTAGTATAAATTGGTGACATTCTCTAGAAGAAAAAGATATGTTAGGTTTGATGTTTTATTACAGGGTAGTCATACTTCACAAAAAAGACAGCTTTATATTTAAGATTACCTCAATATCACTACTTGGGTTCAGTGTATCAGAATTGTGTGTAAAGTAAGCTTATCTCTCAGTCAAGTTCCTGATGTTTTTAGTCATAGTCCTAAACCACAAGTGATGAATGACAGAGGAGTCAGGGGGACTTATTTATCACACATACAACCAAACATAATTACTTATCATTCATGTAAACTACAACACAAACAAATACACCAATGCTTCTATTTTCATATTACTTTTTACATAAACAACACACCACAGAATACATATCAAGATGTCAACAAAATCTTAATCCAAACTCAAATGAAATAAAACTAGGACAAAATTGTATAAAACAAAGATTTTCACAGAAACTCTTGAAAAAGCATAAGAACAATAAGATAAGGTGTTCTGGGAGAGTAAGCGTCTTCTGTTTCATTAACAACATCCACGATGCAAATTTTGCTCAATCTAAGTAAGTTATGACACATTCCCAAATGAGAACATAATAACCAACAATGGAACTAACAGATGTACTAACAAGCATCAGAAACATTCAATTTCTTACTGTGTAAGGAAATTAAATATTTCTAAATAAGATCATTATAACAACCATAAAAATCCCATGTCAATTCCTACAATACATATCCCCTACCAGCCCCCACAATACATATCCCCTACCAGCCCCCACAATACATATCCCCTACCAGCCCCCACAATACATATCCCCTACCAGCCCCCACAATACATGTCCCCTACCGGCCCCCACAATACATATCCCCTACCAGCCCCCACAATATCCCCTACCAGCCCCCACAATACATATCCCCTACCAGCCTCTACAATACATGTCCCCTACCAGCCCCCACAATACATGTCCCCTACCAGCCCCCACAATACATGTCTCCTACCAGCCCCCACAATATTTGTCTCCTACCAGTCCCCACTATACATGTCTCCTTCCAGCCCCCACAATACATGTCCCCTACCAGTCCCCACAATACATGTCACCTACCAGCCCCCACAATACATGTCCCCTACCGGCCCCCACAATACATGTCTCCTACAAGCCCCTACAATACACTCCCCATGCCGGCCCCAGCAACATATTACAACGTAATCATTTATAAAGATTGTACTGTTTGGTGAAACCTTTAAATGTGTGTGAAGTTTGATGATAATCCCTCGAGTAAGGTCCCTGGAGTACTGAGAATAACTTTCTAACAATAGTTAATGACCTGGACCTTAATCCACCATCACTGAAACTCAAAGATATTAAGGTCATTTCTGAGCGAGGTTTGCTAAAAATGAAGTCACTAGAGCACCAACCATTTTCTGAAAACTAAATGGTGACCTTAACCTAGACCTAACATTTCTGAAACTCAAATTGTGAAGTGTGATGAGAATGCCTCAAGGAATCAAACTGCTACCCTGCTGACAATGATTTTCTAAAATTAATAACCTTGACTTTGAGTGCTTGAACTTGTCCAAGATATATGATTGTTTGGGTGTGATGTTTGATCAAAATGCTGTAAGGAATGAAACCACTAGAGTGCTGATTTTCTTAAAACAGTAACAACTGACCTTGACCTTGAATCAATAACATTCAAACTCAAACTTACTGCAGACAATTGATTTTTGTCTTAGTGTGTGAAGATTAATAAAACTCCCTCAAAAATTGAATCCACTAGAGCGCTGAGAATGATTTTTTAAAAATAGTAAATTAAAATTTACCTTGACTCAACATCTGTAAAGTTACAAGAGTTCTGCCAAATCTTATTGTTATTTACATGTACTGAAGTACATAGAAGGGTGAAGAGGAAAATTATAGTTCCCCTCACCCTCCCAATCCCTACTGGTAGGGGACTATCAAATCCTTGAATATCGAATCAACTGAGACATGTTAACATCTTGGTTTTGGGATGCAGGGCTGTTGCTCCCCAGAAATGGAAAATTCATTATAGGGAAACTGAAATCATTACAAATACCATACAGCTGTCCCTGTTGATTTCATTTAAGGAACAGGTTGAGGTGAGCCGCTAATTTCAAATTCAGATGGGTATATATGACAAATATACTTAAAGACAAGACATACACATATACAAAATACACCAACGCTTCTATTTACGGAGCACACTTTATTTCATTAAAGAAGCTTCTAACGAAATTACAGCACACAGTACAACAAAATAAAAACTGGATAACTAAAGATTTTGTGAAATTTAAATAGATACTGATGAACAGGATTTAGCACTATGATAACAATAATCGAATATCACTCGTGATATGTACAACTTTATAACAAGGTGTGGTACTAACTGAACTGTAATGTAATTTTACTCTATGATTATAAATTCTTTACCATAGCTGTTTCTCACCGGGTTAGAAGTTTCGAGAGATTAGAAGGAATAGTGAAACACCAACTTTTAAAGGACTTGTTGCATATTACAGAACTGCACAATGAAACTGTTAAAATTAACCAAAACATAATGTGTTGTTTTTCTTATTCTACCTTCTAGTTTCCAGTAATCTCATCTATTTAGGCGATTTCAATCCTTTATACCAATTCATTTGCTTTTGTATCTCTTTTTCTTGTTTCGTGATTTTTTTTTTTTTCCTTTAATTTCTTTAGACCTGAAAGTGGAAACATCCTCATGTATTCTTTTAGTCTGGCCTTATTTTTGTTATACAGAGATACATACTCATGGTAGATTCTTATAATACAAAGAAACACAACAATTGTTTCACTTGGTCTAGTCACCAGTATACAAACTCATGGTAGATAATTTTTTATACATCGGTACCAAAATCAAATGGGCATATTTAGGGACCATACATACCATGGAGAACCTACATATGAAATTTGAGATCGTTCCAGCAATAATAACTCTCAATGTAAAATTCCAAGACAGACAACTGTCAGCTATTTTGTTATTCTGATCAGTCCAAAAATCAAACTGGCACAACCAGGGACCAAGGTGAACTTACCTATGATAATCTGAGAAAGATCCATCCAGTACTTTACAAGAAATAGCAAAACAAATGTTTACGAACGGAAGTCCAAGACAAGAACAAAGACGATGAAAGGGTGATTTGAACTAGCCAAACAAAGTCAGATGGTGGGCTAATAATCTATAGAGATGCAACATTTATTTACTCTGCTTGTCACCGGTATGCATACTCATTGTATTTATAATCATATAAAATCACAACAATACTTTTGTTTGGCCTTTAAACACATATCTGCGGTAAGTAAATATAAGAAAACACAACAGTTATGTCATTTGGCCTTAAAATCAGTATATAAAGGCAGAAGACAGAGATACAATGTGTATATAGGTTACATATTCCTCTTATACATCTTATGTCTGGGTTTGATTCTGTAAACAAACCCTGTATATTACACTCTGTGAACCAGATATGTTTAAATATGATACATGCACTTAAAGACTTAAAACTCTTGAAAACAAAACTCTATTTCAGAATTTTTGTGGTCATTTGCTTTCTTCTGATTTGTTGTATAATTAGAATTTGTGTGTGAAGTATGTGAAGTAGAATATAAATGAGTATTTTGTAACTTGTTTTGTCGATGGGATAAAAAACAATAAATAAAAAATGTTATATAGTAAGTTGAATTACATCAAAAGTCAACAAGTAATACAAGTATGATATATTAAATTAAAAAATAAATGTGATTAAAAATTTGTTAACTTTTGTTTAGTACAAACAAAACCACAACAGTTACAATTCTGAATTATCAAACCTGCATACAAGAAAAATACTAGCCACAGATTAGGCAGTTTTTTGGGTATACAATTATGAACCTTATTAAAAAATAATAACTGCTCTCATAATGAATCCGTCAGTTTTGACTTATATATTGTTATAAACACTGTTTGATGTTATATAAACTGGTTCTGTCTGTACTCATCAATCTTCTTTAGGTATATACGGTGTATAATCTCTCGCACTTACTGCCTTGAGTAACATATTTAGATGTACATATATAAAGAAAAAAACAATATATTACATAAAATTTACATAAAACAACATGTATATATATATCTAATTCAATATAATCTCCGTTCACCGGGTAAAGAATATAACAATATTTTAACAGAATTTTCCAGACACCAGGAAGCAGCATGCAGTGCTGAACATTGTTACACCGGATCTCATCACCTTCCCTCTCACAAATTAGTCATTGTTGACAAAGTAATTTCATTGCTACTAATCTATTGTCACATATGAATATATTGTACATGCCATGTACATGCGATGTACAATGTATGTGCTTCTGCCCATTCTGATTGGTAAACTGATATAATCCTCTCCCCTAACACATTTTACTTGGCAAAACTACCTCCCTTATCACAAACGAAACTAATTACTTCTCTTCTCACAGACAGTCAGGTAAATTTTGACTGATTTAATTATCTCCCCTTTCATATATATGGATAGGTAAAGAGTCTTTTGGTTTGGCCACAGGAATGTAAGTCATGGTGATGTCCTCGTTCACCAGTTCCCAATCACAGGCTCGACACAGTTCCACAATAAACACTTTTGTAAGCAGTTTAGCATATTCTCTCCCAACACAAATTCTGCCTCCATAACCAAAAGGCAGAAAGTTAAATTTTCCTGTTTCTTGTTTTTCTAGGTTAGACACTTCACCTGTCCATCGGTCAGGGTTGAACTCTAGTGCTTTACTGAAGACTGGGGAATTGTGATGGGTTTCTCGAATCCCATAGGACACAGTCCACCCCTCTGGTACTTGGTAATCCTGCAAAAGGTCAATGCACAAAGTCAAATGAATTGTGATAAAATTTTATCACTGGGTATATATAATGCAGGTTACTCTACTCATTTGGTACAAGTTTTTACATGTGGTACACATGCGCTATGTTCATTGGTTACACATACTCTACCCATGGGACACAAGTGTACATTATATTCATCAACCCTTCAAACAGTGAATCATCCCTAAATGCACAGTTTTTAGTTATGACCAGTAACCCTACACAAATACATCAATAACCCTACACACAATTATCATAACAATAACCCTGTATATTGTGGTCTCATTAATAACCCTGCATATCATGGTCCCATAATTAACCCTGTATATTGTGCCCTCACTGATAATCTTATATGTTTTGCCCATCCTATCAACCATGTATACTGTGCCCTGACTAATAACTGTATATTGTGCCCCCAACAATAACGCTGTATATTGTGGTCTTACCAATAACCCTGTATATGTGGTCCCACTAATAATCCTGTATAAGTGGTCCCACTGATAACCCTGTATATGTGGTCCCACTGATAATCCTGTATATGTGGTCCCACTGATAATCCTGTAAATGTGGTCTCACTGATAACCCTGTATATGTGGTTCCACTGATAACCCTGTATATGTGGTCCCACTGATAATCCTGTATATGTGGTCCCACTGATAACCCTGTATATGTGGTCCAACTGATAACCCTGTATATGTGGTTCCACTGATAACCCTGTATATGTGGTCCCACTGATAATCCTGTATATGTGGTCCCACTGATAATCCTGTAAATGTGGTCCCACTGATAACCCTGTATATGTGGTTCCACTGATAACCCTGTAAATGTGGTCCCATTGATAACCCTGTATTTTGTGGTCCCATTGATAACCCTGTATTTTGTGGTCCCAGTAATAACCCTGTATATTTTGCCCCTACTAATAATCCTGTACATGAATCCAAAATCACAGCATGCAATGGACACCCTGATAACCATTCTGTCAATACTCACTCCGATTTCAAATGTTTTGATAGCCCGTCTAAAACCAGCTCCCACAGGTGGTGCAAGTCTCAGGACCTCTTTCATCACACAGTGGAGGAAGGGGAGAGAATTCACTTTTTTCAAGTTAAGGTCGATTTTGTTGTCTTCATAATCCAACAAGTCATTGGCTTTGAGTTCAGCCCGTAGCCTGTTCAGGTATTCCCTGTTTCTACCAAGATACATGAGCACTGAACAGAGACCACTTGATGTAGTGTCGTATCCAGTGAAGAGCAGCTCATTAGCAGCCTCACAGAGTTCCTCCCTGGAAATGGTTGTCTTCTCTTGCTGGGAATACAGGATGTGGTGTATTGCTGTGGTAAAGTCCTGATCACTACCCTCCTCCTCAATTCTCCTCAGATGTTTGTCAATCTCTGCAACAATCTTCTCCTTTGCTTTCAATGCCTTCAATATATAGAACATGGAAATATGGCAAATGTACACATGATATTATCAAGTAAAAAAGGAAAATGTTTATTGGAAATTAAATTCAAGGGAATTAGGATGGAATCAATTTCTCTGTGATATAACTGATACATTGCGTTAGTGTATTTGTACATGTAAATAGTGCAGATAAAGGTGTACTCATGGTGGGAAAGCATTAAGGTTTCATGGAGTTAAGTTATCAATACATATGAACATTTGACAGTATTTAATGCTGAGAGGATGGATGTTTCAGAAATAATTACTTGTTACTTGTACAAAATTGTTTATCAGGCATGAAGATTGTACATTTGTGAAAAACTTGGCATATTAAATGAATAAATCAATGCTCCATTTATTTGTATTGATGTTTATACTGTTAGTAAAATTTACCTTATAGAGACCAAACCCAGGCAGGTTGATGGGAAGGGAGAAGGTGTTGTACGTCATCACTTCAAACAGATTCACTAAATCTGATGATTGATCATACTCAAAGCCCACCAGTACCTTAGCAGCTATCTTGAATGTAAGGTTCTTGCATGCTCTGAAAGCAATGATATGATTACTATCCTTCCAGTTTTTCAGGTCCTGACGACAAATTGCCTGGAAGCTTGGGATGTAGGTTTGTAATGCTGCCTGGGAGAACGCAGCAGCTATGAACTTCTTGCGTAACTTGTGAGGCTCCCCAGACATCATCGACAGAGCACCAGATCCTAGAATGCGTCTTGTAGCTTCAGGCCATTGTGACACAACAATGGTGTTCTCTCCATTTAAAATGGTTTTTATGTACTCTGCCTGGCATACACGGATGGTTGGACGTCCCATAAGATGTGTTTTGAAAATTGCACCATATCTATGTCTCCTTTCATGATAGTACTTCGCAAACTGAAACAATTTGTAAACAAATAATCAAATAAGTCAGACTCAAAGAAATATTTACATGTCCCTGATGTAGCAGGATTATTTACATGTCCCTGATGTAGCAGGATTATTTACATGTCCCTGATGTAGCAGGATTATTTACATGTCCCTGATGTAGCAGGATTATTTACATGTCCCTGATGTAGCAGGATTATTTACATGTCCCTGATGTAGCAGGATTATTTACATGTCCCTGATGTAGCAGGAATATTTACATGTCCCTGATGTAGCAGGAATATTTACATGTCCCTGGTGTAGCAGGATTATTTACATGTCCCTGATGTAGCAGGATTATTTACATGTCCCTGATGTAGCAGGATTATTTACATGTCCCTGATGTAGCAGGATTATTTACATGTCCCTGGTGTAGCAGGAATATTTACATGTCCCTAGTGTAGCAGGATTATTTACATGTCCCTGATGTAGCAGGATTATTTACATGTCCCTAGTGTAGCAGGATTATTTACATGTCCCTGATGTAGCAGGATTATTTACATGTCCCTGGTGTAGCAGGATTATTTACATGTCCCTAGTGTAGCAGGAATATTTACATGTCCCTGATGTAGCAGGATTATTTACATGTCCCTAGTGTAGCAGGATTATTTACATGTCCCTGATGTAGCAGGATTATTTATATGTCCCTAGTGTAAAAGGAATATTTACATGTCCCTGGAATAGTGGGATTATTTACATGTCCCTGATGTAGCAGGATTATTTACATGTCCCTAGTGTAAAAGGAATATTTACATGTCCCTGGAATAGTGGGATTATTTACATGTCCCTGATGTAGCAGGATTATTTATATGTCCCTGATGTAGTGGGATTATTTACATGTCCCTGATGTAGTGGGATTATTTAGATGTCCCTAGTGAAGCATGGAATATTTACATGTCCCTGGTGTAGCAGGAATATTTACATGTCCCTGATGTAGCAGGAATATTTACATGTCCCTGATGTAGCAGGAATATTTACATGTCCCTGATGTAGCAGGAATATTTACATGTCCCTGATGTAGTGGGATTATTTAGATGTCCCTAGTGAAGCATGGAATATTTACATGTCCCTGATGTAGCAGGATTATTTACATGTCCCTAATGTAGCAGGAATATTTACATGTCCCTGGAAGAGTGGAATTATGTACATGTCCCTGGTGTAACAACAATATTTGCATGTCCCTGGAATAGTGGGATTATTTACATGTCCCTGGTGTAACAGGATTTATTTACATGTCCCTGGTGTAGCAGGAATATTTAAATGTCCCTGGCATTGTGGGATTATTTACATGTCCCTGATGTAACAGGAATATTTACTTGTCCCTGGTGTAGCAGGAATATTTAAATGTCCCTGGCATTGTGGGATTATTTACATGTCCCTGATGTAACAGGAATATTTAAATGTCCCTGGGAGAATGGAATTATTTACATGTCCTTAAGGTAATTATAACTAACATTTAATTCACAATGTAGGCTGTATGGTTAAACACCAACCATAATATACATGTACATATTCACATTGCACAAATTATGGAAAGTTCAGACTAGACTGATACTGTTAATTGCAAAGAAATTCTCTCCCCAGGAAAAAAAGACAGCTCAAACATGCTTTGACCTCACCACTCTTGGCCTTAACCCTGTCAAACGTTGATAAGATTGTCAATTTGGCTGTCATTGATAATAACACTGTGTATTCAATTAACAACAACAACTGATCACCTCTGTTTGGTGTGGATATCTCATATGTTGGGAAGAAGGGATAAAAATATTACCCTCAGAAAATGTTTTGCTTGTATTGACTTTCATCAGACATTTCATCGCTGATCTGACTAAAGTAACATTGTGTGAATTATAGAAGCTATTGAAGTGTCACATTGAAATGCACTATGGTTGACCCTGTAAACATCAATGATATTTGTTATTTAGACAAAAAAATCTAACCTTGATTATAAATTGTATGGTCTCTCCAATGATTGGGTATCCAAGTGTCCCTGGAGGCAGGGGTTTCCTTGAGGTCTTGTCCACAGGATAAACCTTGTTAATATAAAACTGCCAACTCCATTTGAGAAATGTTGGAAGAATCAGTAGTACTGCCAGTAACCAGGCAAAGTTCCATACTGGCCAACAGTCCGTTGGTAAAAACAGAGCAGACATATCCATCCTGTCAAACAAATCCTAATCTTTATACCTGTTTTTCTTATACACATTTTTCCCTACACCTAATGTTCCTACATCCCTACTTATCTACACCCAACATCTAGCACTCTTAATTCACTCACCTGACATTCCTACATCCCTAACTCCCTTTATCTGACATTCCCACATCCTGAAGTCCCCTACCTGATATTCCTTCATCCCTAACTCCCTTTATCTGACATTCCCACATCCTGAAGTCTCCCACCTGACATTCCTTCATCCCTAAGTCCCTTTATCTGACATTCCCACATCCTGAAGTCCCCTACCTGAAATTCCTTCATCCCCAACTCCCTTTATCTGACATTCCCACATCCTGAAGTCTCCCACCTGACATTCCTAAATCCCTAACTCTCTTTATCTGACATTCCCACATCCTGAAGTTCCCCAACTGACATTCCTAAATCCCTAACTCCCTTATCTGACTTTCTTACGTCTCTGTGTCACTCAACTTGACATTTCCACTTCCCTCTATGTATCTGACATCGTCACATCTTCCCCAAGTCCTCCAAATTACATTCCTACACCGCCAAGTCCCATTCCCACTTTCATAGAGCTCTACACCAGTACAACCCAAACACTTGCATCATTGTGACAACAGGATCGTTTTTATCACTTGACGTCTATGTGTTATAAATCAAAACTGTATAAAACAGTGTTACACCTGCACGATAGAGTGATCTACGTGTATATCTTAAAGTCTATCACCGTTTTTTAAGATATAGCACAGTTTATGTAAAACACATCACAACGTAGTATGTGAGTCAGAAGTGCCTTACCTGGTCTGCCGGGAGTCTGCCTAGCTCTGGCAGTACCCGGTCCCTGCCTTTTTATATTATACTACATTACGTTATCACGGCGGCTTGTGGTTGTGAGGTCAGTGCCCGGTTCACTGTGCCATCAGGTCATGACCTACTACTCCAACACGGACAAAAAGGTGGTTTTTTTTTCCTTTTTTTGTGTCACGGCCTATAAACTTGGTTTTCCTCGTCATGTTGGGTCACACAGCGGACAAGCTAAGCATATGATAGATCATAGACAGGATAGATCAGGGCACTCATTTAGGAACTATCATTAAAACAATATCAACATTGAAATTAATGGGCCGACCTAGGTCCTAGTCACAGGTTTTGTATAAGCTAACCAGTTACGTTTAAGACTTGATAGCGCCACACAGATAGTGCTACTTATCGCATGGTATATAGCTTTACATAAAAAGACATAGTTCAAAGTATTAGAGAGGACAAATCTGGCTTTCAACACAGGTGCTTGTGCACATTTGATTCTTGTTTTTTAATAAACATACATATAGCAGGGTTACCGGATGTGATATTGGGTCCAAATTACATGATTTCTCAAGTGTAATACAGGATACAGATTCGGTGTTTTTGTGTGAGATAAAGTGTACAGATGATAGTGTTTCCGTGTGAGATAAAGTGTACAGATTACAGTGTTTCCGTGTGTGATAAAGTGTACAGATTATAGTGTTTCCGTGTGTGATAAAGTGTACAGATTATAGTGTTTCCGTGTGAGATAAAGTGTACAGATTAGTGTTTCCGTGTGTGATAAAGTGTACAGATTACAGTGTTTCCGTGTGTGATAAAGTGTACAGATTACAGTGTTTCCGTGTGAGATAAAGTGTACAGATTATAGTGTTTCCGTGTGTGATAAAGTGTACAGATTACAGTGTTTCCGTGTGTGATAAAGTGTACAGATTACAGTGTTTCCGTGTGTGATAAAGTGTACAGATTATAGTGTTTCCGTGTGTGATAAAGTGTACAGATTACAGTGTTTCCGTGTGTGATAAAGTGTACAGATTACAGTGTTTCCGTGTGTGATAAAGTGTACAGATTACAGTGTTTCCGTGTGTGATAAAGTGTACAGATTACAGTGTTTCCGTGTGTGATAAAGTGTACAGATTACAGTGTTTCCGTGTGTGATAAAGTGTACAGATTACAGTGTTTCCGTGTGAGATAAAGTGTACAGATTACAGTGTTTCCGTGTGAGATAAAGTGTACAGATTACAGTGTTTCCGTGTGTGATAAAGTGTACAGATTACAGTGTTTCCGTGTGAGACAAAGTGTACAGATTACAGAGTTTCCGTGAATGATAAAGTGTACAGATTACAGTGTTTCCGTGTGTGATTAAGTGTACAGATTATAGTGTTTCCGTGTGAGATAAAGTGTACAGATTACAGTGTTTCCGTGTGTGATAAAGTGTACAGATTACAGTGTTTCCGTGTGTGATAAAGTGTACTGATTAGTGTTTCCGTGAATGATAAAGTGTACAGATTACAGTGTTTCCTTGTGAGATAAAGTGTACAGATTACAGTGTTTCCGTGAATGATAAAGTGTACAGATTTTAGTGTTTCCGTGTGTGATAAAGTGTACAGGTTATAGTGTTTCCGTGTGTGATAAAGTGTACAGATTACAGTGTTTCCGTGTGTGATAAAGTGTACAGATTACAGTGTTTCCGTGTGTGATAAAGTGTACAGATTACAGTGATTCCGTGTGTGATAAAGTGTACAGGTTATAGTGTTTCCGTGTGTGATAAAGTGTACAGATTATAGTGTTTCCGTGTGGGATAAAGTGTACAGATTATAGTGTTTCCGTGTACAGGTACCTTATAGGGTACAGATTACAGGGTTTTCCATGTGCCTTATAGGGCATAGATTACAGTGTTTTCCATGTACCTTATAGGGTACAGATTACAGGTTTTTCCGAGTAACATACAGGGTACAGATTGCAGGGTTTCCATGTACGTTATAGGGCACAGATTACACCATTTTCCATGTACGTTATAGGGCACAGATTACAGTGTTTTCCATGTGCCTTATAGGGTACAGATTACACCATTTTCCATGTACGTTATAGGGCACAGATTACAGTGTTTTCCATGTACCTTATAGGGTACAGATTTCAGGGTTTTCCGAGTAACATACAGGGTACAGATTGCAGGGTTTCCATGTACGTTATATGTTTCAGATTACAGGGTTTTCCATGTACGTTATATGGTTCAGATTACAGGGTTTTCCATGTGCCTTATAGGGTACAGATTACACCATTTTCCATGTACGTTATAGGGCACAGATTACAGTGTTTTCCATGTGCCTTATAGGGTACAGATTACAGATTAGGGCACAGATTACAGTGTTTTCCATGTACGTTATAGGGCACAGATTACAGTGTTTTCCATGTACGTTATAGGGCACAGATTACAGTGTTTTCCATGTACCTTATATGGTTCAGATTACAGGGTTTTCCATGTATCTTATAGGGTATATATATTAATTTTGACCTTGGCAGTCTAACTATTGAATACTGCAGTTGTGATTAATTTCCTTAAGGTTCTAAGTGTTGTGTGGCTTGTAGCAGTAAAACTCCTTCGACGACAATGCAATACAATTAAGTCGTAACGTGATCTCTGAGGCTAGATGGCTCGGTACCGGGGTCATGCACAGGACAAATTCTCGTGGTACTAAAGTACATGGTTGATATTTTGAGATATGATCAAACTGAAATGATACCAAACTTACCTTGACGATTTGCTTGATAAACAAACATATCCTGATTATCATTCTGTAACTACATACCTATTCAAGTGAGCCAGTATCTTCACAATGAAGACAATTGACCATAATCATTTGGCTCCAGTGAAACCAGATTCATCCTAGACATGTTCTGACCTCGGGATATTGATCCGTCTACTGTCGATTTAACAATCGAAAGCTACACCTCTATTGCACACATAACCTGCAGACATCTATCCCACATCTACAGATTCCTATCCGACACTTCTAGCTTCTACATCTTTGCAACAACCGACCATCCAATCACCAACACAACAAATCCTAATTACTAAACAACGCTGGAAAAACAACATCAAAACCCTATACTCCGAAAACAAAACCTAGCTACTTAAAAACCCTAAACACCAAAAACAAAACCTAGCTACTTCAAAACCCTAAACACCAAAAACAAAACCTAGCTACTTCAAAACCCTAAACACCAACAACAAAACCTAGCCACTTAAAAACCCTATACTCTAACAACAAAACCTAGCTCCTTAAAAACCCTATACTCCAACAACAAAACCTAGCTACTTAAAAGCCCTAAAGATCAACAACAAAACCTAGCTACTTAAAAACCCTAAAAACCAACAACAAAACCTAGCTACTTAAAAACCCTAAAAACCAACAACAAAACCTAGCTACTTAAAAACCCTAAACACCAACAACAAAACCTAGCTACTTAAAAACCCTGAACACCAACAACAAAACCTAGCCACTTAAAAACCCTATACTCCAACAACAAACCCTAGCTACTTAAAAACCCTAAACTCCAACAACAAAACCTTGCCACTTAAAAACCCTATACTCCAACAACAAAACCTAGCTTCTTAAAAACCCTATACTCCAACAACAAAACCTAGCTACTAAAAAGTCCTAAAGATCAACAACAAAACCTAGCTACTTAAAAACCCTAAACACCAACAACAAAACCTAGCCACTTAAAAACCCTAAACACCAACAACAAAACCTAGCCACTTAAAAACCCTATACTCCAACAACAAAACCTAGCTACTAAAAAGTCCTAAAGATCAACAACAAAACCTAGCTACTTAAAAACTCTATACTCCAACAACAAAACCTAGCTACTTAAAAACCCTATACTCCAACAACAAAACCTAGCCACTTAAAAACCCTAAAATCCAACAACAAAACCTAGCTACTTAAAAACCCTAAAAACCAACAACAAAACCTAGCTACTTAAAAACCCTAAAAACCAACAACAAAACCTAGCTACTTAAAAACCCTAAACACCAACAACAAAACCATGCTACTTAAAAACCCTAAACACCAACAACAAAACCTAGCCACATAAAAACCCTATACTCCAACAACAAACCCTAGCTACTTTAAAAACCAACAACAAAACCTAGCTACTTAAAAACCCTAAACACCAACA